CTCTATTAGTAAACCCTACGACGCAACGAAGTCACTGGTCTCCACCATGGCCGGGTGAGCTAGTGATCACTACTCACCACCACAGCGCTGAATGTGTTAAATACATGATTTCTAATCATGTATGTTAGACATTTAATTTCCTTCAGATTATTGAAAATTTTTAACTTCGTAGAAGTCTTATAGTGGACTAATCGCATCTGATTTGTTCAGTGTAGCTTCAAATATTTGAGTGTAGCTACTTTTGACAAGTATGGCATTTCGAATACAGTGCGAATGTGACACTGACACTAGTGCAACAAATAAAATGCACTATAACACTATGTAAAATGGGTACTGATAGAAATGACAATAATACGTAAGTATTTTACAGAAGCAAATTATAAAAAAATGAGTAATTTGTGTTTTAATCATATTCATACTTGTGTGATTGTGAAACTCGCATTCCCTCTTGGTACAACTTTCACAAACCATGTAGAATATAGGGCACTTCTGTACTTCTTGCACATTATTTTTAATGAAGATTTCAAATCTGTAATCTAAATTTCTGTATTAGTTCTAGTTTAGAAAATATGACACATGGCCGTTTCATAGTAAAAGACAATTTGTTTAAAGTTAATCATATTTTATTTAGTTCTTAAGGTGAAAAACACTTTCTTTTATAAGACTTCCTTGCAGAGGTTGAACCCATAGAACTGTTCTGAATGCTCCAACAATAGTCAGCCATCATGTGTGCGTACCAGTAGCCTTGATACCGTTCCTCCATCGTACGAAGGCCCTGGTGGAATCGCTCGCCCTGTTCTTCACTTAGATCCCCAAGATTAGCGGGAAAATAATCTAGGTGGTTCTGAAGAAAGTGCAACTTGATGCTCATGTTACATCCATTAGTTGTTCAACGTGTTGAGAATAGTTATAACTTTTCTTATTTCCCAAAAAAAATTGAAGCCAAACAAACTCATTCCATTCATTTTTCTCAATTTCTGTCATAGTGTCCGTAAATTGTGTCTTTTATTAATAATCTTATCTGTGGCCCATCGAAAATGCCCGCTTTTATCTTTTCTACACTCAGTTTCGGGATTTTTTTTGATAGAAATAGAAAATAATTTCCAGTTTGGTTAAGACCTTTGACAAACTGTTTTATAAGCCCTAATTTTATATGCAACGGAGGCAAAATTATACGATCTCTTGACACTAAAGGTGGGTTTATCACGTTTTGTTGTCCTGGAACTAGATCTTTCCGAGTAGACCAATCCATTTTAACCCATCGTTGATTTTTAGCTCTACCATCCCACAAGCAAAGAAAACAAGGTTACTTTGTGTAACCACCTTGCTGGCCTAATAGAAAGTTGACCATTTTTAAATCAACACATATGATTCAGTTAGTTTCCACATATTTAATTTTATCCAAAACCAGAGCAATAGTTGTATATTCTTCTTTTACTTTTGTAGAATGTGCAATAGGCAACGACCCTAATTTATTCCCATTGTGTAAGAGAACACATTTTAGACTCCGTTTTGACGAGTCTATAAATAAACGCCACTCACTAGAAACATAATTTTGTAATCCCATTGCAGCCATCAATCCAGGTACCCAGACAACACATCAAATCCCAGAGATATCCGCAGAATATCTTTTGTGGATATCCAATATATCCACAGGATATCAGAAATATTCCGTGGATCTAATATGGATATCCAAATGTCCGTCTATATCCAGGATATAGAAGATATCCTAATGGATATTCAGCAAAATATCTAATGGGTATCTTCCAGAAGATACAAGAAATCACAGAGATATCCACATAATATATTTTGTGGATATTCAATATATCCAATATGGATATCCAACCAAATGTCCGTCTATATCCCAGGATATAGAAGATATTCGGATATTCAGCAAAATATTTTATGGGTATCTTTAGTAGAGGTTTATAAGTAACCAATGATTATTGAATAACGTCGAAAGAAAATAGCAGAGATAAAAATATTTTCAACACTCAAAATATTTTCAACACTGCCTTTGATTTTGCCCACTAAGGAGAAAGTCATCCTTATTAGGAATATTCAGCAATAAATGAAAATTCACGACTCCAGTCTCTAATGGAAAACGGAATGAATAGGACACACATTTCGATCGAACTCAATTACGGCGGGTCGAGCATGAGTAGATGCGATAGTGGTATCGCCATCTATACTTAGTAAGCAGAATCAAATAACATCTAGTGGATATCCACGATGGTTCGCGTTCGCGTCTAGAATTTGATATATTTAGTGGATGTTCATGGGATATTGAATACACCTTAAAAAAATAATTTTAAATATCTGAACGGTACTATTAGCCACAATGGCGAGCACAATGGAGTAATTTTTTAATAATTTGCTATATAATTACTATTATTTATGGACATTTGCATGTCTATAAATTACATTTCATGGATATAAAATGGATATCTACCATGGACTGGACATTCAGTGGATATTGGGATGTTAAGAAGATATCCAAAGGATTTGGTGTGCTGTCTGGGTGCATCTTTACAAAATACGAAATTGTCTTCTTCAGCAAAATATTTGAGGACATTCTGTTCTCTTGTGCGGTAATAAGAAATTTTAGTTTCTTTCGTTACCAACTTTCTTTCTTTTAGTCTTGAAGCCAAAATTTCTGAAGCTGACTTTGACAGTCCCAGATCTCTAATTAAGTCGTTTAAATCATCTTGATTGAATGGTTTTGGCGTTCCCAGGTCGCATTCAAAGTCACTATCACTACTGTCGTTTTTCGTCTCAAACTCTTCTGACTCTTCCTGTAAAGTACCAGATTGAGGTTCAGGTGTAGACTTAGGGCTCAGGACACGTCTATGTGCCGATTGTATGGAAGGATATTCCCATTTGGCTCGATTTTTTCGGTTAATACCAGTTATGTTCACCAAACAAAAATAACAATCGTCATGGTGGTTCATGGGTTCATTCCAAATCATAGCGGTTTTGTACCTGAAGCTATGTCTTTTCTTATTTGTCCATAAACGTAGGAACTCAACGCATGTTTTGCATATCTTCTGCAGAATCCAAGGCTTATTCTTCATTTCCAGCGGGTGCCAAAGTAATTTTTGTAAGCCTCATTTACGAACGTTGAACATTTAAACGGTATTCTTTAAATACATACTCTCCGCAAATGAAACAAAAATTGTTTGAATCATTCACACATACTCTTCTTGACGATGCCATATCAAATTACAAAATAAAACAATAATTCAAACAAGAAAGCTAATTTCACTATTGTCTCACTAAACCTTCCCCTTAATTACTTTTACCTTTATAAGTACGTTCTAAGAAACTACAGGGGGTGTCCGCGGTCGTACAACAGAGGGGTCGTTAAAAAGGATTATAAATGGTATTTCCAAATAAAATTAAATATGTATAATAATTCAATAATTATTATTAAATAAACTGTAAATAAACACTATAATACAACGAATTTTTAGTGAAAGCTATAACTCGTAAACAAGAGCTGTCAGAAAAAAAGTGGGGGTATATTTATGGTGCGTTTGATTTGATCATCGGAGATCTCCGAGCGCTTCAAAAGTGTTTGAATTGACACTCCGAGAGATCCCTAAAGTGTTTGTTTCGCTTTGGAGCGAGAACATAGAGCGAGCTCGATGTTCTCAGAGCAGAAAGATCGAGAAGAGGGAGAAATTTGTCTTTGTCTCTACCTATCTCTTTTTAATAAACTTACAAACAAATTTGAATCTCAAAATTAAAGACCAGACAAGAAGTCAACAAATTACTTAGCCGCTTTTGTCTTATAGCTAAAATTATTCATCATAAAAAAACACAAAATGTGTGTTTGGAAAATACATTTTTTCTGTCCAGATCTAATCACCAGTAATCACAGTCATGGAGTAGGAGAGCGAAGCGGGCATTTGTGGTAAATGCTGCATTTCAGGGCCATTACCCCTTATTATTAAAATTTTTCCATTTTCTTTACTTTTTGCTCACTATTTTAACATACAAACCAGAAACAAGAATCACAAAAAAGCGAGGTTATGTTTTTTACTCTGTTTTATTTGATTTGATTCAATGCTCTATTGTGACGTCATCACTTCTCGGTCTCCTCGACGCTCGCTCGATCGAGTTTCAAATCAAACGCCCCTTTAGAATCAGTGACTTAAAATTAGTAGACATCATGTGACATAAGTCATTCATCAGTCAAAAAGTGTAATTTTGTTAGCCAGTGTTATACTTCCTTTTTTTAGCTGATGCAATTAAAATATATAATAATTATTTACGTGCAAGCTCACTTTCCAGGACGAGCATGCAAGTTTCAAATACACTTTCCGAGTGTGGCGCGTACAATATTTTTTGTGCTGTCACCAATAATTTGACAATAATATAGGAACAGAATATTTATTGCTCAAAACTTAACTCATTTATTATTATTAATATTTATGTTGAACGTGCAGTTATGCAAAGTACAATTATTAAAACGTTGATGTTCCGGTCAATTTATGAATCATAATATTTGTGTTATCAATAATATCGGATAAGAGCCCTGGAAAGTAGGTACTTTGCCGAGCATTTCTGTCACTTTTCCGAACAGGTATGTCAATTTTCCGATCTAGACCGGCAACGACGCACTTTCCCAGCTAAAAAATTATCGAAAAAACGCATTTTCTAAAGTGGCAGCACAAAAATAATTTTTTCACTCGTTTTACAAGTCCATTTACTTTTATTAAAACCAGAATATATATTTGTTAATTACGGATTCTATTAAAATTTGTATTGTCAGTATACGAAAAAATTGTCCGTTCATAAGTTAGTTGGCGCTCTGTCACGCACGATGCCAATATGTATTGCCTTTAGAACATGGTTTAAGCTAAATAATATTTATATCTTTTGCAAAACCCTTTCTCACAAAAATGTTTCCTTTTTATTTAATTATTAAATTATTTTTCTTTCTCAATATTGTATTATTATGATAAACAAACCATTGGTATTTTCTCAATTTTCAGGAGCAGTAGAGAGAAAGAATGATGAAGTAAATTTAAAAGATATAGAGGGCAAGAAATGCAAAGCCCCTCATAAACACCAATGGGGTAATGTGGCCTATCACAATGCAATGATTTGTTCTGTTTTATCTGATAAAAACGAGGAACTTAAAGTTAAAGTTCTATACACGAATCCAACTCACCAAGAAATGTTACCTTGTCCATTTTATTTTGAATCAGACTGTAAGTTTTCTGAAGACCAATGCAAATTTTCTCATGGTGAAGTAGTTTTATATTCCAGGTAAGATAATCATAATGAAAAATAAATTCAATTTGTAAAACAGGGATTGCAAGGAAGCAGTCTTCAATTATCAAATAAATAAAAATTTTGAGTTTATATGACTTCAAAAGCTAAGTCGATTTACCAAACAACAATTTATATATGTATAGTTTTCAGTGTTATTGTATTATTTATATATTTTGATGTTTGTCAAACTTTTTAGTCTCCAAGAATATGTCCAACCAAACTTTGAACTACTCACAAAAGGAAGTTCAGTATTAGCAAAACAATCAAATAACCTCTGGTACAGGGCAAAAATAAAAAATATATATGAAGAAAAATGTCTAGTAAAATTTGAGTGCGATTCTAAAGAATTAGAAGTAAACTTAGAACATGTTCTGCCATTAGAAAGTGATGATAATAGTAGTACGGATGAAGATAGTGATAGTGCTGAAGATGAGGACATAATTAACCAAAAAGACATTATAAATCAAAGTCTTATGATCACCCCAGATAGTCAAGCTTTAGGAGATTGGGAGAAGTATACAAAGGCAAGGAAATTTATTTATTTTCTATTATGATAAAAATAAATCTGAAGGCGAGAGTTTAATTTCATTTAATTTTAGTTCCAAATGAATTTGAAAAATAAAATATATTTCCTATAGTAAAACGTCTTACAAAAATAATTATTCTAAATAAAATAAAACAGGAAAATCGACATATTTATATTTTTAATTTCTGTTTTTACGAGAGTCCATGACATGTCTTCCTGAAATTGAAATCTGCTTTACGATCCTTCATTAAAATAAATTTTTCCATGACTTTTTCGTCGCAATTATTTATCTCCAAAACTAAGTTTCTATTTACTGATAGCAAAGTTAAGAGACCTATCATCATCTAAATTCTAAATGTTGGCTGGCCGCGAAAAAATTTCACCCTAATCTTCATTAAAAGAGCAGACCAACTCGTTAGCGCGATAGCGCCTGTCACACTCCGTTTCCATAGTGACGGGGGCCTCTATCTTACTGCAGCCGACGATAGTCCAGCCAAAGAGATCTTTGTTTTTATAGGAATAATTTGGAGGGGACATAATAAATAACACTCTTAGGCCCAGTTGTACCACTCCAGTTTACGGAAGGTTCAACTGAACCTGGTTTAGACTGTGACAAACGTCGTACCAACTATACCTAAATGTCACAATCAAAACCAAGTTTAGTTGATCCTCACCTGAACTTAAATGGTACAACTGGGCCTTAGTCTGTGTCGAGACGATAGGAAAAATTATAATATAAATAATATTTTTAATTATGATTTTATTCTCTGGTATTTTTGAGTTGGGGCGCACGGCCATGCGGCCTTAAAGAGTTGAACACGACGCCGTGCCATACGGATATTCTACTCGAGTTGTACAATATATTTTTTCTACGATCCACTAACGAAGGTCTACAAAATTTTAAAAATTAATTTAAAGTTTCTTAAGATAAAAAATATTTTAACAATAATTAGTCGTCAAACCTGAATTTAAACCTCAGAAATTTTGCATAACAAATCAATGCTCTACGTCTATGCTATTGAGGCAGCTAATTTATTTATTTAAATTGGTTTTAGATAGTTCCGACAAATTTATGATTTATTTCTAAATATAGACAAATAACTTGTGGAATGCTATTATTTATCGATTCTTCACAATAATCACTTATTTTTAATTAATAATTAATATATTTTTTTATTCTCAATAACTAAAAATATACTGACAATTTAAAGGAATTGTTACTTATTTAAAATTAAAATAGTAGTTTGTGCAACGAGAGTGGATATGGACAATGCACTAGAGTTGTCAGTATATTTTGCTACGACCCACTAACGAAAATCTACAAATTTAAAAAAATATTTTCCAGCAGAACACAAATGTAAGTAACCTTTATCTACACGTATTTTTTTCAGTTACTAATAATTGACCATGTGAATATAAGCACAGTCGACGAGAGGGGGGGTTGGCGGGACAAATTCCCGGGGCCCGGCAGCGGCACAAGGAGGCCCGGCACCTTTAGATGA